TTTTCTTGTCTGTCTACAATCATGAAAAGAATCTGAAAAACTAATGATATAGCAATAATTGAAGTAAAAGGAAAAGGGAAAAAGCCTCAAATAGGATATTCTCTGTCTACGAAGCACTTAAAATAAATATGATGCTATAACATGCTTTTACTGTTACATTTTTAAAAAGGGAACTGAATTCCCTAATTTACTTCAATATTTTCATAAAACCAGAAACTTTCACATTATAAAATGATGAAACACAGAATTAAATGCTTTTTAAACTCCTGAAAGAATCACCTTTTTCAATTAACACGTAAGAAATTTACAAAAAAAAAAAAAAAACTTTTAATTTCATCAGCTGATTATTCCTTTCATTTTTCAATGTTGATTTACCTCATATTACCTGTTATTACCTGTTACAATACCCCAAAGGCCCATGGGTTAAAGGCCTTCACCTTTGGATGTCAGTACTGGGAGGCGGTGGAACCTTTAAGAGGTAGGGCCTAGTGAGAGGTCTTTGGGTCACTGGGGGAGTACATGTGAAGGGGATTGTGGGAGTCCAGTCCCTTCCTCTTTCTCTGTTTTGCTTCCTGGCTATAACATAGCTCTACTATTGTGCTTCCACCACTCCTTGCCACAGCCCCAAAAGTAACAAAGCCATTCAATCATGGACTGGAATCTCAAAACCAAAATTTTGGAGCCAAAATGGAACTTTTCTCTTTATAAGTTAATTATCTCAGATTATTTTTTACAATGACAGAAAGCTGTCAAACATATTACCTCTCATAACAAAGCATATAAAACCAACATATGTTTAACAGCTAGGTTACTAATTATACAATTCTAGCCATTTAAGAAACATTTCAGATTTATTACAACCCCATCAAAATTTTTTCTCCTTTTACTTTTAATGTGTAAGTACAGTTTAATGAAGAAAACATTTTATATACTCCCAACTAAGATATATGTGTACAGTCATTCTAATTCATTTTCTATTTCTTGAAATATGAAATCAAGATTTTCCATTAAAAAATGAATTCCAAACTTCTAAGAATGTGTTTAAAATCAAAGGCCTGTCTTATTCTGAATGCTTTTTTCTTTAAAACTAGATGCCAACAAGTAGAGGCCAAAAGTAGAGCAACTCATTGTGAATGTACCAGCTTCCAAAAGCTTGTTTGCAGGTCACTTAATTGGAACTTGGAATACAGTCTTCCATTGAAACAATGTTATAAATGGTACTTCTTTCCCAGGCTTTCCCACAAAAGCTCATAAGCAGTTTAAAAAGAAAATTAACATTAGATACTTTAAAACAAACAAAAAAGTGCTCATTCAAGATATAAAATGTATCTCCTAATCCAATCCCTATATCTCTTTCTTTATTTGTATATAAGCTTTTTGTTACCTCAGAATAAGTCTCTTGAGAGAGAAGTATAAACCTGCATTTCCCACTACTATATGCCCCCCAAACTCCTCCAAAACAAATATCTGCGATTCATCTTAAATTATGAAACCAGCATTTGTAACACTGTATTTATTCTTTTTAAGAGTTCTTGTGCTTGGAGTGATAAAGTGCCTGCTTAGGATATGGGAGGACCTGGGTTCTGTCCCTAGCACTACAGATACAAAGAGATCTGGCTATAACTTTTATCCCTCAAAGGACAGCATTGTGTGTATGTGTGTACAGTGTATGTGTGTGTGTGTGTGTGTGTGTGTGTGTGTGTACACAAATGTGTACATGTGTGTCTTACATGTCCCAACTCTTAGAAAAGCACTGAGAATGAATTAATACACCTGTGAGGGAGACAAGTGACAAAGGATGCAAGGATGACAAATGACAGAAAAACCTTTAACTGGGGAGAATGGAGTAAGGGGACTGGGGAGAGATAACCTGGTCAGTGTGGTCACAATGGAGACTTCTGAACTGAGATATTGCCACTAAGACAAACAATAGGAGAGAAGAAAAACTCCCTGCTTGAGACGGTTTTTCCTGGGGCAGAGGGAACCTGGCAAGACCAAGGAAGAACAGAGGAGCTCAAAAGAAAGAGAAGAGCTGGGATGGAAAGGTCAGAACAGGCAAAACCTTCCAGAACACACTCTGAAGACTGTCTTTATCCTGTACCCATGGGGAAATCCTGAAGAATATAAGCAGGTAAATGTCGTGTTCCAATCAAGGTTTAGAAACAACATCAATTTAGGTCAATATTATCACCCGAAGAAACTGAAACTCAAAGACATGAGTTCCCATAGTGGAGTTTGTGAGGCACCTGGCAGTCTAACAAGGCCGGTGGGACCCCAAAGTCCATGTCCTTTCCACCATTTTTTTTAAGTTGTAGTTGGACAGATACCTTTATTTTATTTTACTTTTATATGGTGCTGAGGATCTAACCCAGTGCCTCTCATGTGCTATGCTAGTGCTCTACCACTGAGCAACAACCCCATCCCTGCTTTCCACACCTCACGGAAGCTGACAAGTGTAAGTTAGGCCACAGCAGCTAACAGGGGAAACAGCTGCAGGCAACTCTCTCCATCCCTTCCTCTAATCACCCATGGAACTAAGTGATTGACAGAAGAATTTCTCTATCCCCTTTCTTCATGGCCTCTCTCCCCCACCTGCCCTGTCTTATCACATCACCCCACCAATTCTCACTGGAAGCAGACTATCAAATGGGGACAAGTGGAGAGGGTATGCAGAGTTGCTGCTGTCTACACTGAGAGCAAAGAAACAGGTGTGAAGGGTGATCTATAAATGAATGGCCTACCTAAACCAACACCTAGAAGTGTTTATCAAACACTTCAAAATTACGGTAAACAATTTCTAAACAACAAATCAAAACAAAGAGCCTGAATTCTCTTCAAATCATACATCCTCAGGGAAGCTGCTCCAAATATCTTCCATTCAGCTTCCTTAGAACCTGTCCTTGGCTGGCTGTCCAGTAAAGAAGCTCTGACTTCCTGCCCTCTCCTAATTCCCATATGTATATATAATCCTAAATTTAAAAAAAAAAAAAACCTATCCAAACAACTTACAGATATATTTTAATAAATAATAGCTGATTACACTAAATTTCATACAATGTAAACACTTTTAAAGACAATTTCACTGTTCACCCACCAAAGAAATCAAATATGTATCAGTTAAACCAAAATATGATTCTTTACTACATCAAATCTAAAATCTTGTATGGTAAATATTCTTGTATTTTTATGTATCTTTTCACTCAACTAAACTGTATTTCACAAGATTCAATATTTCCTAGAATGACCCAATAAACCATTTTCATATTTATTTGATTTCAATTTAGTTTGATTTTTAGAAATTCATTAGCAAGCCTTAAAAAGCAGACATGGGAAAAAGTTACCTGAAAATGTTCCTGAGCAAACAGATTATGAACCAAAATAAAACTCACTCAAATCTGGCTCAAAAACTGGGTCAAGACATAAAAATATGTGTTCCATGTGAGATATTCTTTCCTGAGGCAGTTTAATTACTACCTCATGGTTTTGGTAATTTCAGTTAGATACACTAGTTTTCCCTCTTAATAGTTTCCCAGTATGAGTTAATGGGCATCTTCCCATTTTCTATTATTCATACCACATTGATTTTTCAGATTCTTAAATAAATTTCTACCATAAATCTGTATGTAATATTAAATTGGTACAGGTTGAACATCCCTAACCCAAAAACCTGAAATCCAAACATTTAAAATCTGAAATGTTCCAAATCCAAAACTTTTCAAGGGCCAATAAGAAGCCACAAATGAAAAACTTCACACCATACCTCACATGATCAGTCACAGCTAAGATGCAGGTGCACAAAAAATGGTGTGTAAAATGACCTTCAGTCTCTGTGTATAATGTGTATATAAAACATAAATGTATTTCTTTTTTTTTTTTACCCCTGTTTTCACAGTGCTAGGAATTGAACCGGGCCTGACACATGCTAGCCAAGTGCACTATCTCTAAGACACACATCAGTCCTGTAAATGAACTTCATGTTTAGACTTGGGTCCCATCCCCAAGACATCTTATTATATGTATGCATTCCAAAGTACAAAAAATCCAAAATGAATCTGGTCCCAAGCATTTTGGATAAGTGATACTCAACCTACTTTAACAATGAGTAATTTTAAAAGGAACTTCATAGCAATAATCAGTATCAGCCAATCCCTAAAAACAAATGCCGAATGTCTTCTCTGATATAAGGGGGGGTGACACAAAATGGGATAGGGAAGAAGAGCATGAGAAGAAGACTACCACTAAATAGGGAAGAGAGGTGGGAGGGAAAAAGAGGGAGAAGGGGAGTTGCATGGAAGATGGAAGGAGAACCTCATTATTATACAGAATACATATATGATGTTGTAATGAGAAAAAGAAAAAAAATGTGTCACATTAGATTGGATAGAAAGAAAGGATGGGAGAGGAGGGGAGGAGTAAGGAGGATAGGAAGGGCAGCAGAAAAGAATTGACAATATGATTGATGTATGTACATTCCATGTATGTATTATAAGTCAAAATTCATTCTGATTAAAAATAAAGAAAGAAAGAATTTTTAAAAAAGACACGAATTGGTGTCAACATACTTTATATACAACCAAAGATAAAAATAATAATAATAATAATAATCAGTATCACAAAAAGAACTAAGTAGCAAGAAACTTCAGTCTATTTTCTTTCCAGAGATTTGAGAATCCTCTTTTCCTATCCTGGTCATTGCTTTCTGCTCTTGAAGGGTTCCTCCAATGTAGTGAAAAAAGTCTTGAAAAGGAACTTGACATGCTCCTTTTCAAGTGAACTTTGCAAAATTATTGTTTAAATAGGATGGTTTAAATAACATTTTTCAAAACTATTGTTTAAATATATACCTGCTATTTAACTAGGAATTTTCCCTGCATGGTCCTACTAACAACCACCAAAGGTTCTTAGGAGCTGAGAGCAGCTAGGTTAGCAAGCATATAGTGTACTTCAAATAAATTTAATAAAGCTTCATAGTAAAAGTAGTTTTTAAAAAAAAAGAGTACCTCTTTGTTGGTAATTGGAATGGATAGGAAATAGTTGGGTTGATAGTCTTTTTGCCTTTTTTTCTTCTTTATTTGATCATTCTTGATTTGTTCATTTTCTATATTCCTCTTCAATTTTATTTGAGGTACATCAGTGACTAAGGAAAAAAGTCAAAGAACAATGTGTCTAATACATTTAGATAAAATATATGGTCAGAAAAAGAAGAAAACAAGCAACATAAGTAGCAATCATAATTTTCACACCTAAAGCAGTTGGCAAACACTTGTATAAAATACATAATGGTAAATATCTCAGGCTTTGCAAGTCATAGTCTCTGTAGTGACTACCCAACTCTGACAAAACATAAATATTTTCCCATAAAACTTTATTTATAAAGCAGGCAGTATGCCGGATTTGACCTATGGGCCATAGTGCACTAACCCCAGACCTAAGACACAGCTAACCATTCTCTCCACATGCCAGTTTTTATAATACTAGGAAATATCATTTTTCCACCCATCCCCAGTTACCTAACTCCATTCCACCAAGCCCCACCTCCTAAAGGTTTCACCACTTCCCAATATGCCACGGACTGAGGACCAAGCCTTCTACACACGTGCCTTTGTGCAGCATTCAAAATCCAAGCTATAGCACATGGAATCATGCCAGAAAGTCTCTAGAGTTAATTTGAAAATCTTTTCACTGGCCAAAGATGAGCATCAAACTGAGTAATAAGTTCAATGGTGTAAAGCACATCAAATACAACTAACTCCATCACTTCATAATGATACTAAAAAGAAAAATTAAAATGAAAAACTACCTCACTGGTTAGTTTGGAGGATTCCAGAGAACCATTATTTTTAAAAACTGATAACAAAGTGAAAAAAAATAAAGCATTTACACCTTTCCTTATAACCAACAGAAAATAAAACAGCAAACTAAAATAAGGTTATTCTCTATATAAATGCCCACCTAATAAATATAGAAGGATGCCAGTTTACTAGAAATACAAGGGACAGAGAAATATGTTAAATGACCAGGATAAGGGAACTTCCACACAACCTGATTTCTTCGACAACATTAAACATAGACATAACAAGAGACAACACAAAAGGAACAAAGTATTTAAAAGTCCACTGGCACTTTTAGCATTTTAAATTGTTTTACATCTTATCTGTTATACATGCAACTGTCTTCCTATTTGTAGCAACTGATTTTTGCTCATTTCAAGCATTTCACAAATCCATTTTGTAGATATCCAGAAAAGGAAAATCATATTCTCTCAAAGAATGGTTTTAATAGATTCAGAAATCCTAACAATTTTAATATCAAGAGAATGACAGTGTAAAACCTCAAATCAGAATATAAGTTCTTGGTAAAAATACAGAAGTACAGGGTTTATGTAAGTTTCTTTAGCTTCCCATAATCCTATCAATAACTATTTAATTTTCCTTTCAACTGGATGACCTACCATTTTCTTTCGTTAGTCATGACAGACAGTACCAAGTTTAAAATTATGTGATGAGATCTGGAGGGGAAGGAAAAGAATCTAAAGAATATTGTTTATATGGTACAGTTTTATCAACTCTTGTAATATGCTTTTTTTTTAATTCAGTGAGTCTATTGATTTAAGGTCAACCTGCTACACACTAAGTTCAATATCTTTTTTTTCTCATTTGCATATAGTCTTTAATTTATAAAATTTATTTGTATGGCCAAAGTATAAAAGCCTTCAGCTTTTTTTAATTGAACTTCCTTTTATTGCTAACTTTGAAATCAAAATCTAGGTTCTAAAAAACAATTTGCTAGTATTCGTTTTACTTACCTTTGCATGAAAATATAAACAGCAAAATATTTATTCATTCAAAATATTCTAACTTACTGATAAAAATATTAAAAAGCAGTGATATAGAAACAAAAGGTAGAAAGCTTTGGCTGTGTGCCCTGGATCTTTCACTGGATTATTTAGAGTAACTTTATTGGTTAGTAAAACAGTCATCCGTGGAAGTATAGCATGTAAACTCATAAATTTAATTTACTCCATTTATTAATTTTCATAATGATTTCAGTCACCATTTTAATGTGCTCTAATGAATTTAGTCTTGTTGACAAAGGTTGTAACTCTCTAATCCATGAATTTGGTTTTTTAAATAAAACCCTCATGTCATTTTTTATGTAAATTATTTCATTTCTCCACAGGTTCTATTTATTCCCTCAAAAACTATAAAGGAGGGCTGGGTATACAGCTCAGTTGTTAGAGTACTTACCTCACATGCACAAGGCTCTGGATTCAATCCCCAGCACCCCACCACCACACACACACACACACAAAAAAAAAAAAAAAAAAAAAAAAACCTACAAAGGAATAATTTATGGGAGAAATTAATTTAATTTAATTAAGTAGTCCATGTGTTATTATGGGTTGGTATTTTTTCACATTTGCTTTTTTTTTGTGGTGCTGGGGATCACATTTGCTTTTAATTAAAAGGCTGAGAATTAATTAAATTTTGTTTTCATGTTGTCTTTTTTTTCTTGTTGTTTAAGCTATTAAAATCTTTAAAGTAATCATTCCTAAAACTCCTTAGTTGTATTACTCAGAATATCATCTTCTATATTTCGTAGAATCATTCCCCCTTACTACTGGCAAATTACTAAAACTTTATAAAAAAAATTATTTCCCTCATTGCATTTCTGTGTAAATTAAGTAAGAAAACAGTGTTTTACAATGTGTTAATAGTACTCAATATAAAATACTGCCTCTAAGAGGCAAAGTTTTACAGAGGTTGTTTGTTGTTGTTGTTTTTATAGTTGTACATGGACAGCATGCCTTTATTTATTTTTTTTATATGGTGCTGAGGATCTAACCCAGTGCCTCTCACACGCTCTGCCATAGAGCTCAGCCCCAGCCCACAGATATTTAATTTAGCAAATATGTTTAGGAAAAAATTTGGTGAAATTAATGAAAAAAATTACTGAGGCTAGCTATATGCTACAAACTTAATGACTTAACATGCACTGAGGAATTATATCTGTCCAACAATCCTGTGAGTTAACTACCATTATTATACCAGGATTACAGATAATGAAACTCAGCCTGGAAAAAGTACAAAATTAAAAAGTGTGGGAGTAAATTTTAAACGCTGACAATCTGACCCCAAGTATTCACATTTACCTACTACAGCATAACAGAGTAGATGTCCCCTAATGAACAGTAGCAAAAAAGAAGAGGAATGAGTTTATCTACACCTGTGTTTACTGAATGAATGAAGCCTCTTTTGTTTTTTTTTAATGGTGCATTATAACTATATGAAATAATGGGATTTATTGTTACATATTCATACATGCACACATCATAACAAAATACTAACTCTTTAAACTGGGTGCAGTAGTGCACTTCTATAATCCCAGCAGCTTCAGAGCCTGAGGTAAGAGGATCCCAAGCGCAAAGACAGCCACAGCAAAAGCAAGATGCTAAGCAACTCAGTGAGACCTTGTACCTAAATAATAAAATACAAAATATGGCTGGGGATGTGGCTCAGTGGTTGAGTGCCCACAGTTCAATCCCCAGTATCAAAAAAAAAAAAAAAAAGACTAACTCTTTTTAAAAAAAAGTTTTTAGCCACATTTAAAATTTTTAATTTCATTTTTCCATAAAAAGAATAAAGACTATTCACAAAATTTGAGGATTACAGAAACGAACAAAAAAAATTGCTAATAAACCTACTCCCTTAATACAATCACTATGAATTTTTGTGATAGATCACATAAAGTATTACACAATTGTAAAAAATTAACCTATATAATTTTGGCCCTACTATTTTTCATTTTGCATCATATATTTTTATATATACATATATGTATATATGAGAGAAAGAAAATTCCCTATAACATTTTTTCAGAAATATTACTTATTTATAACTATAAATAATTATATAATATGTAACCTAGAAGCACTAATACAGCTTCATCAAATATTTCCTAAATCTGGATATCTGCATTTTTTTAATAGTACTTTTAGTTTTTAATTCATCACATCAATAGACTTAAAGGTAAGAGTCATATGATTATATCAATTTATGCACAGAAAGCATTTGACAAAACACAGCACTCTTTCATGTTCAAAACACTAGAAAAACTAGGGATAGTAGGAACATACCTCAGCATTGTAAAAGCTATCTATGCTAAACCCAAGGCCAACATCATTCTAAATGGACAAAAATTGGAAGCATTCCCTCTAAAAACTGGAACAAGACAGTGTTCACCACTTCTCTTCAATATAGTCCTTGAAACTCTACCTAAACAGAGCAATTAGATGAAAGAAATTAAAGGGAAACAAATAGGAAAAGAACTCAAACTATCATTATTTGCTGACAACATGATTCTATAGTTAGAGGATCAAAAAAAATTCCATCAGAAAACTTCTAGAATTAATAAATGAATTTCTATACATCAGTAGTGAATGCTCTGGAAGAGAAATTAGGAAAACTATCCCCTTCACGATAGCCTCAAAAAAAAAAAAAAAATACTTGGGAATTAACAAAAGAAATGAAAGACCCATCCAATGAAAACTACAGAACACTAAAGAAAGAAATTGAAGAAGACTATTATATTTATATTATTTATATTTAAGGTTTAAAACTCAATAAGTATATTATGAATTAATGTATCTACTAGATTTTAATTTCTAGAAATTTTGAAACACATCAAAGTCTTCCCCACTGTCCTTTTATTCAGCTCTTGGTGGCTTTTGTAGGGATTTTGATGTTGTTCTTCTGGCTTTTGTAGTACTGGGAATTGAACCAAGGGCCTTGAGCATACTAGGCATGTACTCTACCACTAAGCTACATCCTCAGCCCCTTTTATTTTGAGACAGGGTTTCACTAAGTTGCTGAAGCTGGCCTTGAACTTGCAATCCTCTTGCCTCAGCCTCCCAAATAGCTGGGGTTACAGGCATGCTACTGAGCCCAGCTAGTCTTCTCGTTGGTCTTTTTGTTTGTTTAACAAGGGAAGAAAAAGGATAGCAACTATTTGTATTATTTGAGACAAATACTTTTGTCTCAAGTCTTTCATAATAAAATCTGGAATTGTCATGAGCTGAGTAATGAGACTTTGCTCAATGATGGACTACATATATGATAGTGGTCTCACAAGATTATTTTGTCCAGTGACACCACAGCCATGTTAGTTTGTGTATATATATTCCATGATGCTCACCCAAGCACAAAATTGCCTACTGAGGCATCTTTAAGGACTTATCTGTTGTTAAGTAATGTATGATTGTATGTGGTATATGCCTCCCCTGTTAATTATGGAAAGACACTGAACACAATTTATCTTTTTAAAACTGACTCAGAATAATCATTTATTATATGAGGTGCATACCAAAATTCAGTATTTGATACAGCACTTCTCTATAAAAATTTAGATAAAGTTTCAATTGATATCTTTGAATATTTGAAGTATTTTAAAAGACAACTTAATAGTATTAGCTAGTAAATAAGTAACAAAACAGTAATTTCCCATAACTGAAAAATCTCTAGTAATTATAAGATTAAAATTCTATGGAATTAGGGTTGTAGCTCAGTGGTAGAGTGTTTGCCCAGCACGTGTGAAGCACTGGGTTTGATCCTCAGCACCATATAAAAATTAATAAATAAAATAAAAGTATTGTGTCCGTTACAACTAAAAAAATTTTTGAAAAAAAATTATGGGCGGGCTGGGATGTGGCTCAAGCGGTAGCGTGCTTGCCTGGCATGCGAGCCGCCCGGGTTCGATCCTCAGCACCACATACAAAGATGTTGTGTCCGCCGATAACTAAAAAATAAATATTAAAATTCTTTCTCTCTCTCTCCCTCTCTCTCACTCTCTCTTTAAAAAAAAAAAAATTATGGGCAAAGTAAAATAAGAATCAATCACTTCAACAAAAGAAGAACTGAATTCCACATTTAGGAAAGATGCAACTAAAAACCAACTCTCAAGTATTTTCCTTCGAATCTTGATTTAAATGTGGCTTGAGAGTTAAAAACTGTGATTCTCTTAAGAGACAAGAGGTAATTAAATTAAAGCTCTCCAAGGTTCACACCGTGAAAAGCATACTAAACCATCCCATCTGCAGAATAGTGGCTTTCCACTGCAGACCTTGTCCATTCAACTTTCAGAGGCGGAGAAACCGCATCAGCAAACATTTTCCCATGGTTTACTGAGTTTCTAACCAATTCACCCAGACTGCCTCCCTGAGAGACAAGAGAGCTGTACAGGCCCAGGTCAGCCCCTCACTGATGCTGGATCTTCCCCTGGAACCCATCCAACCTAGGGCCAAACACATGGCAGAGCTGCACTGCTCCTCACCATACTCAAAGATTTTCTTTTGCTCACACATACGGACAGTTTATTTCTAATATAGTTCTATAGTCTAATATATGATCCTAATGTATCTTAAGTTCTAATATTTAGAACATTCTAATATATTCACAATTCTAATATATATTTCTAGTAAAATAATGTCTTCATAAGTAAAATGCAACAAAAAAATACAAAGGCCTTTTTGGCCAAACAGATCAAATGTCACCTGATAGCAACACTGCACTTACACTGAAGATGACACTGTGACACTGAGATACTAATCATTTCAGGAGTTTTTCACTGTCAAGGATTCACCTTCCCATAATGTTCTCCAGTACTACTTTCCTCACTGCTCTGCCAAAATTTCTATCAGAAAAAAATCTCCTGGCAGTTAACTCACAATTCCCACAGGCCAAAGAAAACCAAAGCAACCACAGGCAACAACCAGCAACCTGAGAATTTTAAGGTTGTTATCTACTACAGAAGACTGACTCAATTACCACGGTACTAAACATTAGAAGAACCCAAGCCACATACTAATTATCCTGTGTTTTCGGCACAAAAGCTATTACTATATTTATTGTAAGGTTTAAAGGGTGACAACAACCTCCTAGTTCTTGTACATTTCTATAAAAATCTCACTTCACAAAAATTAGTTAGAAGGCTGGAGATGTAGCTCAGTGGTAAAGCATTTTCCTAGTATGTGCAAATACTTGGGTTCAAATATCCAGTGCTGTAAAAAAAATTTTTTTAAAAACACCTAGTTATTAGTTTCTGGTTTGCAATAAATTTTACTATTTGTTCCTCGGTGTTATTTTAAAAAGCTATTATAAAAATCAGAGAATAAGTTGTCTCCAAATAAGGGATATGTTTCAAAGGTTTTGTAAAACAACATTTGTATATTGTTTTATGTTTTTAACTGCTTTCTTTCACACATTTCTTCTTTTGATACGTATAGCAACCCTATGAGATAAGCAAAAGGGTATTTACATCTACATTTTAGTTAAAGAAGCAATGTCAAAGTCATGCAAATAGAAAATCTAATAACAATTCACAATATCCACTCAATAGATGAATGAATATAAAAACTGTGATATATACACATACACTCTGGAGTATTACTCATACATAAAGAAGAATGAAATTATGGTATTTATGGCATTTGCTAGTAAACGGATAGAAATGGAGACCATCATGCTAAGTGAAATAAACTAGACTCAGAAAATAAAATAAAATAAATAAAAGAAACTTTAATAATCAAAACTTAAAACACAAGTTTTCTGTTTTTCCCACTATCCAACATTGCCTACATGTAAGTTGGAACTTGAAATTTGAAAATTCATCTTTCTAAAAAGTAATCTTATACATGGTGATTTGGAATCTAAACTAGCCCACAAAAACATTTAGCTCATAAAGCCAAAGCTATCAAAAAGTGGTATAGCACTATATAGTTAAAAATGGTGGAGCTGGGGTTGCGGCTCAGTGGTAGAGGACTTGCCTAGCATGTCTGAGGCATTGGGTTCAATTTTCAGTACCACATATAAATAAATGAATAAAATAAAGGTTCATCAACAACTGAAAACATATATATAAATAAATGAATAAAATAAAGGTTCATCAACAACTGAAAACATATATAAAAATTGTTTTTTTTTTTAAAAATCATGTTTAGTGAACTGACCTGAGCCCCTAATATACATGAATAACATTCATCACTTATTTAGTAAGAAATATACTAAATCCTGTAGAAAAAAATATCCTGCTTGCATGAAGGACTGGTGGCTCTTCCCTATGTTCACTTGCAGAAGCAGCTGTCCTTTTAAAGCAGGAATGCAGGCCACAAACACATCTCCTTTGTTCTTTGTGGTCCCAATGGCCTTTGGTCTCCTTATCATTAGAAATACAAGAATGTGGTATCTATAGAATACCATTTTCTCTGTCAATAACTGCATATTTAATTAAAGGTTTAACTATTTTCAACACTAACCTGGTAAGCTCCATGAGGGCAGGAATAATGCCCGTCTTCTTGTTCACCAATGGGTCCTCCCAATGCATAGCAAAGTGCCTGACCAATATCAGCAGCCAGTAAACATTTTTGTTAGATGAATAAATACTGATGAAATTGGTAGTGGCTCCAGAAGAACTGAAGGAAGTTATTACATACCATGAAATGACCTGATCCATTATTTTCAAAAGTTAATAATAAACTATAGAAAGGCTAAAATGATATGTCTTTCTCTTTCTGTGACAGTTTTGACAACACATTACCAAATTAAAAACCCAAATTCAAAAACACAACAAATAATCAAAGTGACATAATTTAATGGAAAAGAAGCTATATTTACTATTCACTGCTTCTAAATACATGTTTATTTAATAAAGTACTTACTTGCATAATCATCTTTAATATCTATAGTAGCAAATGGCATGTTTATCAGAGAATCCACAGTACTGGCTTCAAATTCTTCTGACATTTCCTTTTTTCTTGACACATTTTCACTCTCACTGGAATTTATTCCTCCTTTAACACAACACAAGAAGAAAAATACATTATTTAACTTACTTTTAAAACTCATATCCTAAACCAAACCAACTCAACTAGATGAATTAAATATAAATTAACATCTCTGTTTTAGTCAACTTTTTCACTACTGTACTAAAAAACTTGACAAGAACAATTTTAGAGGAGGAAGAGTTTATCTGGGGGCTCACAGTTTCAGATAGCAGGCTCCATTCCTTGGGGCACAAGGTGATGCAGGACATCATGGCGGAAGAGTGTGTCAGAGGAAGGGGCCCAGGACATCACATCAGAAGCAGAGAGAGCTTCCACTCACCAGATACAAAATATATGACACAAAGGCACACCCTCAATGCCCACCTCTTCCAGCCATACCCTATCTGCCTTCAATTACCACTCAGTTAATCTCCATCAGGGAACACACTGATTGGGTTAAGGTTCTGAAAATCCAATCACTTCATCTCTGAATGTTATTGCATTTTCTCACACATGAGCTTTTGGGAGACACCTAATATCTAAACCATAACAATCTGTTAAGAGAAGTACTATTTGTATTCAAATATATTGTAAAACTATTTACATAAACATTATTTACACCAGATTCAATATTTTTATAAGTGTAATTTTACGTTAAACAACAACCTTCTAAATCTTTAATCATTTTGTAAAGCACAGTATTCAACTCAGGGATAGATGAAGACAGTCAATAATTCTCAAGAGCTTTCATAGTTATACTTCCTTATTTCTTTTTTAAATGTTTTTAATAGTGCATTATAGTTATACATAATAGTGGGATTCATTTTGACATAATCATACATGCATGGAATATAATTTGCTCCATTTTAGTCTCCCGTGCTTCTACTTTCCTTCCCCTCCTCCCGTCCCCTATTCTTCTACTCTATTCCTCCCCCTTCTTCGACTCTGCTGGTCTTCAATATTTCTAAAGTTACGTTTTTTACATATCTTTGATAAACAAGCCAACAATATTTAGTCACTCTTTTCACATTTATTTTTAATAATGTCACTTATGTGTTTGGATTCTTTTTACCTTCCATAAAGATTTTTAAGTTGTTTCTCACCATTATTACACTTAACATTGGAAATCCAGCTAAAATATGCAGTTTTGGAAACACAATTATGAGAAGCAAGTGATCTGACAGTTTCCCAAACAGCTCTCCCATGGTCATGCACTAATATTAAAGTCACATTTTACATTTGGTTTTCATTTTCTTGTTAAGGATGGAATACTCACATATTTTAGGTGGAGACTAAGGGGGAAAAGGCATCTGTTTAAATTTATAAAATCAATTGCTAATTTTATCAGTTGGTGGTCTCCCCAGTACCACTATTCTCCACACCTTTATTGACACACAAATGTTATCTAGAATAGATTGAACAGAATCCTGGGATATTTCATGTATTTATTAAAGGTTGATTTACCATTTGAAATGTTAAATTTATTTATTTCATTTCTTTCATTCTGTTGCAAACTTTTGTTTTCAAATACAATACTTGCAAGACACTTTTCATTAAGGATATGGTTTATAATATATAACATGTTGACTATGGTAATAGATTACAGTTAATATGTCTAACAAAATTATAAACTTTTATTGTAATTAAAGTCATTCTCATTGTTCTCTCTCTCTCTCTCTCTCTCACACACACACACACACACACACACACTTACCAACATACCTGTTTGCTGTTTGTTGTTTAAAAAAAGCAACCCAAAAGAACTTTTTAAAAAATGTTCAATGTCATAAAATAGTAGGAGCACTTTTTTTTTTTTTTTTTTTTTTGTATTAGGGATGGAACTCAGGAGTACCTTACTACTGAGATACATTCTCACTCCCTTTTTTGTTTATTATTTTTAGACAAGATCTTGCTAAATTGGCGAGGCAATCCTCCTATATCATCCTTTGAGTTGCTGAGATTATAGGCATGCAGTACTATTCCCAGCAGTAGTACATTCTTAAAATGTTATTTATACAGTTCAAATATTAGGAAGTATGAAAGGCTGCCACATTGTTTGACAATCTTTAGTTTACTATAAGTCTTCTCATACACTCACAAATATTTTTAAAATATGAGAACAACTTTGTATTCTAAGCTTGCATTTTAAAAACATAAATTCAGTTTAAACTTAAAAGTGTAAATAGACCAATACATATCTTGAAACTTTGGGCACAGGCAGCTACACATAAAGGATCATCACTGCCCATGTACCTTCACTTGAAAAGTCTGCAACAAAAAAGTACTTGTAACAGGGCATGGTGGTGCACATCTGCAATCCCAGCTATTCAGGAAGCTGAGGCAGGAGGACCACAAGTTCAAGACCAGCCTGGGCAACACAGTGAGACTCTATCACAACATAAAAATAAAAAGGGTTATGTATTATAAAGCATCATATGGAGCCAAAGTAACCACAGGGTTCTGCAGCATTTAGTCCCTGTGATCCCACAGGAAGGATTTCAAGAAAGTAGCACAGGCTGAAAGTAAGGCACACAGCACAGGACTAGAGTGGACTGTCTCCTGAGGGAGTAAGAGAGCTCCTAAGAGAGCTCTTACAGTCTGGGATTTTAAGGAGTTTGGTCCTCTTTCTTCTTGTCTTATTTTCTCACAGCCCCCTTTTGATTAATAAGTGGTTTATTACCATTTTTTAAATTTTGTATATATACAGCTATAAAGGACTGGGGATGTAGCTAGGAGTTAGAGCATCCCTGGGTTCAGAACTGCAAAGATAAATAAATAACATGAAAATAAACAATGCTGAATGAAAATCACAACCAAAAGCAGTAAATCCAACTGTTGTTTTCCTTATTTATTCTCAATCTGAACATGTCTAAAGACATGAAATTGGCCCATCTAACACTGGCATTTCAATACCAGTTCCCAAGTCCATCTGCCACTTAGAAATAGATACTCCAGTAAGATTGGCAGCCATTAGGAAGTCAAACAACAACAAGTGCTGGCGAGGATGTGGGGAAAAGGGTACACTTGTACATTGCTGGTGGGACTGCAGATTGGTGCAGCCAATTTGGAAAGCAGTATGGAGATTTCTTGGAAAGCTGGGAATGGAGCCACCATTTGACCCAGCTATTCCCCTTCTTGGTCTATTCCCTAAAGACCTAAAAAGAGCATGCTACAGGGACACTGCTACATCGATGTTCATAGCAGCACAGTTCACAATAGCAAGACTGTGGAACCAACCTAGATGCCCTTCAATAGACGAATGGATAAAAAAAATGTGGCATTTATACACAATGGAGTATTACTCTGCATTAAAAAATGACAAAATCATAGAATTTACAGGGAAATGGATGGCATTAGAGCAGATTATTCTAAGTGAAGCTAGCCAATCCCTAAAAAACAAATGCCAAATGTCTTCTTTGATATAAGGAGAGTAACTAAGAACAGTGTAGGGACGAAGAACAAGAGAAGAAGATTAACATTTAACAGGGATGAGAGGTGGGAGGGAAAGGGAGAGAGAAGGGAAATTGCATGGTAATGGAAGGAGACCCTCAGGGTTATACAGTGGAGGAGGTAGAGAGAGAGGAGGGGAGGGGAGGGGAGAGGTGGGGAGGGGGGAGGGGGGAGGATGGGAAAGGCAGCGGAGCACAACAGACACTAGTATGGCAATTTGTAAATCAATGGATGTGTAACTGATGTGATTCTGCAATCTGTATATGGGGTGAAGGTGGGAGTTCATAACCCACTTGAATCAAAGTGTGGAATATGATATGTCAAGAAATTTGTAATGTTTTGAACAACCCACAATAAAAATTTAAAAAATAAATAAATAAAAAAAAAAAAGAAATAGATATTCCCTGATTGGGTGGCTAGATTTACATTATTTTTCAAAATTCTGCAAAAAGCAATATGCATTCAGTTGAAGCCATACTTCAAATTTTGAATTCTGAACTCTTAGGGGGCTAGTGCTCGCTCCTGATGCCAAGCAATGACCGTGAGCCTCAGTTCACAGCCAGCCCACAGTCTTGTGAGGAAATAGGAGCTCTCTATAGTGCACCTGCTGCCAGGGTTAAGTGTATTAAATACATTTTCCACTTACAATGGTTGCAACACCTGATGGGTTGTTGAGGATAACCCCATCATAAATTCAGGAGCAGCTATATAAGATGCTTGGCAATATATGAGATAAATAATAAAACTGACTTCTGGTTTTTATTAACATATTTTGAAGGCAAGAAGATTTAAGTACAATGATAAATTAAATTAAGACTTCTTGAATTAAAACATTCTTGAAATAGTTTAATTTTTAGTTTATCTTGAATTGTCAACAGTAAGAAAGCAAGTGCCCACTGGATCACTGTCTATATCAAGGAGAGAATCACACGGTGACATTGATGACAACCATTCCATTTGAATGATTTAAGGAAGAATTGGAACTGTAATTCGGTTCAATTTCTAGTACTACCAGAATCACCTACGGATTTTTTTTTAATATTTATTTTTTAGTTGTAGTTGGACTCAATATCTTTATTTTATTTATTAATACGTGGTGCTGAGGATCGAACCCAGGGCCTCGCACATGCTAGGCGAGCACTTTACCCCAGCCCTCACCTAAGGATTTTTTTAAAATCATCCCAGACCAATTAAAGCAGAATGTCTGCAGATCAGCCCAGCCCAGCAGCTGGCATTTTTTAAAAGTCCCACAACACATTATACATGGACATTTGTCCATTTTCTCTACTAGATTCTAAGCTATAGTGACCATATAATTTATCACTGAAAACAGGGGACTTTGGAACGTGAAAGGGGGAACTTTCATAAATTCCACCCCATCGCTAAGTGTGGTCCCCTACTGTGAGCTCCCAGGTGCCCTATTTTACTCTCCTTTGATTCCTCCACTCCTGGCAGAGTTTAGCTCATGGTAGGTGCTCTATAAATTTTTACTGAATGACTGCACAAAATGCACACTGCATATACATGTGTATACACAATATATATACACATATATTAAAATTAATGATATAATTTATATATATATATTCTTATATGTATATGTGTGTGTGTGTGGTGTGTGTGTGTATATATATATATCTCAACTACACATTTGGAAGTGGTTAATAAAGCACTTGGGCTCCACTGCAATGCAGTTATCTCAATGCCCATGAAAACTAATTCCTAGTATTTCACAGTAGTCTCAGCACATCACAGCTTCTCTCATTTTCACAGGATGGATGGAGGAAAGGTACTACTATTCCATTGGACATAAAAGCAAAAACTAAGAAAAAGAAGAAAAACCAAGAGAAAAAAAAAAGCATAATATGACTTGCTCAACATCTTTCACATCTTATTAAATAAAACACATTAAATTCAAATACAATATTGTATCAATATTAACAGGAGTCAAGAACTTCAAATACAAACTCTCTTTATTGTTAAAGAATTAAAATAATTTTTGTAAATATCACTTATTAACTGAAAAAAATGCCACTTACATGTAAAAGTCTTTAAAAAAAAAAAAAAAAACCAAAAAACTACTGATCACTCTATTGAACAATGATTCTCAAACCGAGTATCTGGAACCTTCATCCAGTTCCCTAAGCTCTAGGGTTTGAGTAAAGGTTGACAGGTATAAATTAAATATATTTTTCCTTTCTACACCTTCTTTTACAGAAGGTATAAACCTTTTGCTTTTGAAAACTGCCTTTAAAAAAACCTACTCTCAAATAAAACATTTAAAAATATAAATTCATTGCTTTGACAGTTTTTAAGTCTCCTAAAACTTAACCTACCTATAATTAAAATATTTTTTGTACAAATTCAAATAAAAGTTACATAAAATTTATTAATAACATAAAGATGAGGTGGGTAAACTAATACCACCACACCAACCAACAAACATAGACTTCAGGCCAGGCAGGGCTGGAGAATAACTTTAGAGAGTAAATAATTTAATTTTCACTACTATGCTACTATGATAGCTAATTAAGTAACTTTCCCAGTGGTAAACTATCAGAATCAGGGGCTGGTATCTGAATCCAGTCACTGAGGCAGAAAGATGGCAAGTTCGAAGCCAGCCTGGGAGACTTGTCTCAAAATAAAAAATAAAAAGGACTGGGGATGTAACCCAGTGATAGAGCACATCCGAGTTCAATCTTCAGTACTGTTAAAAAAAGAAAGAAAATGTGGAACAACTTAAATGCCTAATGAATGGTATTGGCCAAATTATATTGCTATCTTGTGTGCATGCACAAACATGTAACAATGAATCCTACCATTATGTACAACTATAATGCACCAATTTTTAAAAATAGGAAAACCATTTACCACAAATATTGACTCTAAAAAGTGGATATAGGGACTGGGGTTGTAGCTCAGAGGTACTAGCACTTGCCTAGTAATGCACAAGGCCCTAAAATCAATCCCCACCACTGCTAAATAAATAAATAGTGGATATAAAATTACAAAATTGAATATGCTCTTAAGACTTACCCTTATTTGGGAAAAGGCAAAAGGAATGACTTAATCAAAGACCAACAGAGGAAAAAAAGGACAGATGATAGCTTATCCATTGTCATACAAACCTGCTTCCTATTTGAGCGATAAACTACAACTGCGTTAGGCAGGTTGACTCCAATCAATGTACTAAACACTATGTATGTTCCCCATCACCAACAGAAAAGGGTAATGCCATCCATTCTAGCCTTGGCTTAGCTACTAAACATAATATTATCTTATGTCTTGATAAACGTTGAAAGCTGTGTGAGTCAACAAAGCGCCTGACCATTCCCATCATAAAAAGGGAACAAAACGATTCTAAATTACTAGGGAGAAACAAAATACTACTATCTAAAAGAGAATGCAAGAAAACAGTAACCTACACAAACATCTTTAAGTTTTTAATATGAATAAGGAAGCCAGGCACTGTAACACAGGCCTGCAATCCTAGCAATTTGGGAAGCTGAGGGAGGAGATTGCAAATTGGAGGACAGCCTCAGCAACTTAGACCCTGTCTCAGAAGAAAAAATAAAAAGAACTGTGGATGTAGCTTAGTGATAAAGCATCCCTTGGCTATACACACACACACACACACACACACACACACACACAGAAACATACACACACATACACACACAGAGAAAAGACATATATATGCTATCAGCATTAAACAAGGAAGTGAGTGAATCCTATCTCAACAAATTCCTTCCTTTCTCTCATGCATATACCCCTCATCCTATAAATGCATCTATAAAACTGCATAACTTGGGCTGTAACCACAAGGTGAGAATCACTCCATCCGCAAGACAACTGTAAACATACACTAGTTAACGCCTATTTATATAACAAATTTTAATGTTTATATTTTTATACATGTACAATATAAAAATCTTGCAGAAGAGCCCTTTTCTCTAATTGCTTTTGGTTCTTTCCACTAGTTCAGTTCCTATAAAACGCTGACCCAAAATGGAAATTCATTCTGGGAGCTAAGGCAGACTTGGCGCCAGTTTTAAAAAGGTCATTTCCAAACCTGGAATAAAATCCCAAATGAAACAGTAAGGTGGTTCAGGTGTTTAATATCTATCACAGAAAATAAAATGACATTGCTGGGTTTTGTTTAGCACAATTGCACGGTAGGATGGGATGTGCTGGGGAGAACTTTGTGCTAAGGGTCAAAAGATCAGAAATGGGGAAACAAAAGCGAAACTTCGGGATGGGTTCACCCCCACTCTCGCCCGCAGTGGTGCCTACAAGGGGTGCCCTGAAACGCTCCGCTAGGAGCAGCGGTGCCCACCCGGTTGCACGGGGTTCCCGGTGCTACAAGGGTCTCCTAGAGGGAGGGAGAGGGCGCTCGGAGCTGGCGGGCCCCGGGCCGCGCACTCCCCGAGGCAGGACCACCTAGGCTGAGCGCGGCGCGGGCGCGGGCGCGCGCGTACGCGCTCGCGGCTCCGGCAGACCCTGGCCCATAGGGCAGCCCGCTCTCACCCGCTCCGGGGCGCTCCATGGTCGAGGGGCGAGAGGGTGGCGCATCAGGGCCCGCAGCGGCGGGCTGACGCAGCGGCCGGGAACAGGGAGACAGGCGGAGGCGGAGGCCGGGGCGGGGCCCGGGACCTGCCGGAGGCGCGCGGGGGCGGACGGCGGGAGCGCGGGCCCGGGCGGCCAGGCTAGCGGAGGCGCGGAGCCCCCCGAGCCGCAGCCCCCGCGGCAGCAGCACCTGCAGACGCTGCATGCCAGCCCGGGCGCCGCGACGAGCCGGAAGGGGCAGGCCCGGTTCTCCGGTGGTACCCGGATTGGGGCGAGCAACGCGGGCCGCGCTTGCGGAGGGCGGGGGAGCCGGGGCCGCGACCCCGGCGCCACCGCAAGCTGCGGGCCGGCTCTGCTGCCAGGCTAGTCGCAGCCGAGACCGGTGGCTGCTGGCAGCCTCTGGCAAACCTCAGTTATTTCCTGTCCCACGCTTTGAGGGGCAAGATTGGGACTTGGCTGGGAGCATTCCTGACCCGCTGTCTCCTGAGAACCCCTGTGTTTAGTTTTGCAAAGAGCTTTGAAAACAGTACTGATTGCAAAATATTTGGGAAAAGCGACATGTACAAGAACGAGACCTTACACATCTGTATGTCGGAGGTATTTTACAGGCTTTGTTTAAAAAAAAAAAAAAAAAGCCAAATTGGGACAAAGACTGAAATTTTTAATAACGGTTCTTTACCTAGAAATTAAATGGAAATGCACTGTTTTTTGCAGAATAAGGTACTGATGTGAATAAAATGGGAGAAAAGGAAATTTACTTAGTGTACAATAATGATAATAATATTAATAATCATCCCCTTGCAACAGAATGCTACTAATGTTACTGGATTTTTTGTTTTGTTTGCTGTATCAGGGATTGACCTCAGAGGCACTTTACTACTGAGCTACATCCCCAGTCTTTTTTTTTTTTTTTTTTTTTTTTTGAGATAGGATATCCCTAAATTGCTGAGGCTGGCTTTGAATGACATTCTCCTGCCTCAGCCTCCTGAGTAGCTAGGATTACGGGCCTGTAGCCTAGTCCCGAGAGGGAGGCCTACTGGGTTTCTTTTTGGTGGTGTTGGGGTTTTTTTTGTTTTGTGGGTTTTTGTTTGTTTGTTTTTGTTTTGTTTGGTACCAGGGATTGAAAGGGAGAGCCACATCCCTAGACATTTTTTATATTTTATTTAGAGAGGGTCTGGCTGAGTTGTCAAGGCTGTCTTTGAATGGGATCCTCCTGCCTCAGCCTCCCCAGCTGCTTGGATTTTAAGCATGCGCCACCCCACCGTGCTTCTTTTTGTTTTTAATGTAAAGAAACCCATCCGGGAACAAGAAAAACTAATTAGGGTAGCCCTTTACCAACAATAATGCCCCCTTTGTCCCCTTGATCCTTATTCTGGGGATTGAATCTAGGGGCACTCTACTACTGAGCTGCAACCCTAGCCCTTTTTATTCTTTATTTTGAGAAGGTCTCACTAAATGGCTCAGGCTGCCCTCTTACTGGTATCCTCCTGCTTGAGCCTGCAGAATTGCTGAGATTTCAGGCCTCGGCTGCCATCATGCAGGGAACAATATACGCTAGTCCTGAGTGCACCCTGCAATGGGGATGGAAACAAAAACCCCTGTGCAACCAGGATAGTTGGCCCAAAGACCACGTACTAGCCAGACTTGTAGGCTCATACCTTTAATCCCAGTGACCGGCTGGGATTTATTAAGGCAGGAGGGATTATTAAGAAACTTCAGGTGCCCATGTAGCCCAGTAGAAGAACTTACCTAGCATGCTGTGGGCCCTGGGTTCCATTCCCAACACCTGAAAATAATAAAAATAAAAAATAATTATACAGGAGCAACTTTCTGCCCTCCCCTTTTCTGCCTAAAAGTAGAACATAAATTTCCCTTTGTAAAGGTTCCTTAATTCATAAATTTCCATTTTTAAAAGCATACAGCCCTCCCATGCCAGGAAGTAGAAAACACCTTACCTACAAAAGAAACTCTACTAAACCAACTTTCATTTACCATACATTTCCCACTCACCTTCCCACAATTTACCCCCCCCCATCCCCAACCCCTTTTCCCTTTGTCTAGTCCCTTTACTTTCTCGCCCTAAGGCTCTAGATCTAACTGTCTTTTGGAATTTTTTACATCTTTCCGGTGCATCACCTATGTGTATTCATAAATAATCCTTTTCTCCTGTTTTTATGTCCATTTAATCTGCATGTCCCAGCCACTGAACCGAGAGGGCAGGGGAAAGGGTGTTTTCCTCCCCTACAAGATATACCAAGAGAAATATGAGAATTTCATTCTCTATCTAAGCAGAAATATCAGCCTGAGTGCTACCCATTGTCCACCACCAGTTTTATGAATATAGAGTCTTAGGCAATACCTCTCATGTGGAGGAAAATTTGAATTACTCAAATCCTGAAAAAGAGTTTTAACAGAGCTTCTTTGAAAAAGGACTGGGGCAGGGACAGTAAAAGGTAAGACTTGAACATCTTATTGTGCCAAAAAGCAGACAAATGGAGACTATCAAAACCAAAGGAAATATCTTGAAAACAGCTTTCTATGAGTGAATGGGAGACTATCTGACTCAAAAGAAGAGCAAAGCCAGGGGTATGGTGATGCACACCTATAATCCCAGTGATTTAGGAGGTTGGGGCAGGAGGATTTCAAGTTCAAAACCAGTGCCAGCAACTTAGTGAGGCCCTAAGCAGCTTAGGGAGACCTTGTCTCAAAATTAAGGAAAAAAAAAAAAAAAAAGGACTGGGAATGAGGCCCTATAGCAAAACAGCCCAGGTTCAATCCCTAGTATGAAAAAAATAATTAATTAATTAAAACTAATTATTATAACACATTCAATATATAAGACCTATGAACCCATACTTGTATCTTTCTTTTTTCTTTCTTTTGTGTCTGTGTGCACCCAAATACTGAGGGTTAAATTCAGGATATCAAAACAGTTGGCCTTGTTTTAATTCTTATCCTAGAAGGAGATTCCTTGGTGCCTCATTTAAACTAGAGCTGCATATGGTTTCAAAAGAGGGTGAAGTCATGCAATTTTATAAGATATTGTCAAATATCAGTACAAAGCCATCTAGGATCCTTGGTAATTCAGGGTGACTCTAGATGACATTTCATTTTATTGGAGGGGGAGCATTAAAACATGTATAGTTTTCAACTAGTATTTTAATATAACATTTTTATACTCATCTTAAGGATTTTATTATCAGAGCCAAAGACACTATATTCCTTTGTCATAGCATCTATGGTGAATAACATTCTTAAGAAACCATTACCCTTTTGTGTCTGTGTGCACCCAAATACTGAGGGTTAAATTCAGGATATCATGCTTCGTAAGCATCTGTTCTGCAACTGATACACCCCTGGCCTCTATTCCTATTTAGTAATAGATTTATTTCAATAGCCAGATACAGTTTAATGATTTAATAATATTAAGGTTTTTTTTTTTTAGTACCAGGGACTAAACCCAGGAGTGCTCTACATCTCTAGTCCTTATTTATTTATTTATTGTGACAGAGTCTCCCTAAATTAATGAGGCTAGCTTTGAATATGCAATCCTCCTGCTTAGACTCCTGAGTCCCTGGGATTACAGACTTATACCACCAATGCCCAGCTAGGATTCAATATTTTAAGTTATTTTAAATAGTTTTTACTGCAAATCTAAAATTCTATTTTTTAAGTAACTTGTGTTGTTTTATAAAATTTTTAAATTCAGAAAACCTCATGGAATAAAATTAAAAGTTATCTATGAGCTGGGTGTGGTGGCGTATGCCTGTAATCCCAGTGTCTTGGGAGGCTGAGGCAGGAGGATCATGAGTTTAAAGCCAAGCCTCAGCAATAAGCACTAAGCAACTTAGTGAGACCCTGTCTCTAAATAAAATATAAAATAGGGCTGGAGATGTGGCTCAGTGGTTGAGTGCCACCAAGTTCAATCCCTGGTAACAACAACAAAGAAAAACAACAACAAAAAAAGTTATCTATGAAAGGGAGTGTAGTTCAGTGATAGAGCATTTGCCTCATATGTGCAAGGCCCCGGGTTTGATCCCTGCCCAACTCCCCCACACACACAATTTATAATATATCAACTAGAAGAAACTAGAAATATATCTCACTAGATACATATGAAGATATATATATATATATATATATATATATATATATATATATACACACACACATACTCCTATAGCGTACATTTTATAAAAATAGAGTTGTGTTTGTATTAGTTAGGGTTCTCTAGAGGAACAGAATCCAAAAGGAAGTATAAATATAAAAAGGGGATTTATTAGGTTGACTTACACGACCAGAAGCTTGATAGTCCACAATGCCCAGTTGCAGGCTGGAGAGCTGAAGGAACCAGTAGCTGCGCAGTCCAAGAGACTGAAGCCCCAGTAAAAGAGGGCTCAGTGGTACTACCCTAGTCTGAGACCAAAGGCTTCTGGAAACTTGCTGGGGAATCACTGGCAGAGTCCACTTTGGAAGAGTGAAGAAGAGAGAGTCTGATATCCTTAGATAATAGTAGCAGCAATCAAGAACTGATTCACAAAGAATCCAGCTTGCAACTGCTACTGCTTCCTAGTTCTTTTAATTTTTATATCATCCAAGCCATCATCTTATTGGATGGTGCTGCCCACGCTTAGGGAGTGCCACCATTTCAGTTGGCTCTCCCATATGCCAATCATTCATAGACACACCCTCATTGACACACCCAGAAACTTCAGGATCACTGGTATCTCTTAATCCAATCAAGTTGGCAATTCAAATTAACCATTACAATGTTGCATATGACATTGTAATCTTTTTTCTCTCATCAACAAGTTTCTAATCTCATTAAGCATTTTTCTACATCATTATCTCAATCCTGCATATCAAATTTTCACATAAATGTACTAATCAACTACCTAGTGATTACAGTTGTAAATTTAAATCTTATTTAAATTTGTCTGCTTGTCTTTTCTCTCTTTTTTTTTTTTAATTTGGTACTGAAGATTGAACCCATGGGTGCTTTACTACTGAGCTACATCTGCAGCCCTTTTTATTTTTTGTT